ATGGCATCTACACTAATATTAGTCGGTTTCATTCTTATTCTGAGGTCACCGTAACCACCCGGATCCAGACCGTATTCAGACCAGATGGTGGGTCAGCACCTAAAGACGACCACAACAGCCCTAAATGTCAGTGGAGACCATGACAACTAGATGAGCCCTAGAGACAGATCCCCTGCAAAAACCTCGTGAACTGAACGGCCATCATCACAAATCCTCAGCAAAAACCATGAAAACAGTCGAGCCATATGCACAGTCCCTGTGCCCAGCTTCGACTCCTTCAGCATGTGATATATTAAATCTTCAAGCAGAAGGAACTGGATAGATGGTCTGAGTGATGGCAGTCACAGTCTGACTTGTGTTGCAGCCTCGAACTAAGCCACACCATGTTGGTTCATCTGGCCAGAGGAAAACTGGCCTCCTGACTAAGCCTTGTTTCCCCCAAGGTTTTTTTCTCCATTCTGTCACCGATGGAGTTTGGGTTCTTGCAACTGTTGCCTTATGGCTTGCTTAGTTGGGGACACTTAATAGTTGGCAATATTGTCGACTTGATTACACAGACACTATTGGAAGAGACTGAACTGAGCGGGACGCTGACGTCACTGAATCAATGATGAACTGACTCTTTACTATTGCCCTCTTTTTAGAGCTGTTACGGCCCAAGTTGTTTCTGCATTTGTCCACCAGGTGGAGTTTCTCTCTCTATCCCGTTTACTTCCTATAAGCAGGAGGTAATGGCTGCCACCTGATTCCAATGATTGGTGATCTGATGTGATTGCAGGAGGAGGGGATGCCGTGAGGATTTAAGCAGCACCATTGCACAGCGCAAGGTGTGTGGAGGCTGTGTCGTGAGGCTTCTATTCTCAACCCAAAAAGCTTTATTAGTTGTTTTGGTTAATACTTTGTTTAATGATTTCTTTACAGTGTTATTGTGTTAACACTCTTATGGTAATTGATGCCTATGACAAGAAATCTGGTTTGTTTTGGAAGTTACTATTTGTTTGTCCCTACTTATGTGATTGTTTGTTACCTATTAAACTTACATTGTTAATTTATTGGGAATGTGTTAGTAGAGAGGTGGGTGCCATTTTCTTTATCTTGTTTTTCTCTTGTTTATGGTAGTTAGGGAGGTAGTTTATTTCTATTGCATTTGTTTTCTTTTCTTTGTCTAGCTTAGTTTCTCCCAAATAGTTAAAGGGTTTGTTTGTTATTTTGGCCTTACCCCCTCTTGAAGTTTTGACATCCTCCCATATCTGTAAAATAACTTGTTTTGATATTGAGATGATTCTTGGCCTTTGTTAAAGCTCTGGGGTTATGAATTGAACCTTGCTGCCTCCACACATCACCTTTTTATTCTGTTACCTGTTCCTCTAACCCTAGACTAACTGGGAACGTAACAGAATTTGGGTAGATAATGTAGAGTTGTGCATTAATTCAATGACCGCTATTATGGGAGTAGCTTGATGGAATGAATTGCTAATTACTACATTGAAATAAAAATTTTTAAGCCTGTACAGATATTAGAAAATCGTGAATATAAATAATTGTGAATCACGTAAAAAATGTAAATAAAATAAAAACAGTGCACATTTTATTTATCTATTTTAACATTTATGTAGTTTTGTTCGCTTGGCTGTTTCCTTATACAAGTTTTTCGTCAGGTGTCATTTTTTTTTATATGATGTCATTATGTTGCTGTCTTGCCGCCAGCCAATCGCTGCTAATCTGATTTTGGAGTTTTACAAAGAACATTGCAACCGTGCTTGGGACGGCCCACATAAACGAACCAAATAAATGCTTTACATTTCTTGAAATAATAATTTTTTAACATTAAACATCGATTGTCAGTCTTTATTCTGTTTCTTGTGGTTTCTCATTAAAACGCATAAAAGTAAATGTAAATGACATCGCTGATGTCAAATAGGCTAATAGCATAGTTTAATAAGCGGGACACATTGTAACGCAGACAACGTTCACCATCTGCGCAACTGGAATTTAAAACTGGTTGGTGTCTTCTGCTAGTTCATCTCGAATGTAATAAGCGACGTACGAAGAATGGGCCCCAGGATTGTTGTCCCCCTCCCCCCTTTATATTTTTACTTAAAGGAGTCATGAACTGCCTTTATTTACTTTGTACTGTTCTCTGAGGTCCACTAATAATGTTATCAAGATGTTCACATCAAAAACAATTTAAAAGTAATGGGCTATTTTCTGTCCTGTTTTGACCTCCCTCATCAGAACGCTCCATTTGATTATACGTGGTGGATTGTAGACTCTGAAGTAAACACCCACTGCTGTGATCGGCTAACAGTTGTGTATGTTTGACAGCCGACAGCCTTTATAGATGGACGCTGCTGTATTTTAGGTTAAAAAATGCATAAATGCATATCAAATTATCTTTAATGGACAAAGAAATAATGATCATGTAATAGTTATCAGTTACTCACACTTTTGTGTTGCGACATTACTGTCAAATCCAATATAGTCGGCACAGCAGAGTCTTTTAGTTTCAATCTTTCTGAAAATTCTGCATCGAATTGTGCCTTGTTTGTAAACAAATCCACTGCAAAATTAAGTGAACAAAGGACCAAGTTCTTACTGACGTGGTCTGAAACCTTATTAAAAAAAGTTTTTTTTTTTTTTTTTTATAAAATTTAGCGTTTGGTTTCTGCATAGACCTGCTTTTGCCGCTCTCGTCATTTACCTACTACGCGCACAAATTGGTGGGCGGGGCTAAACAGGCAGTGATGTAGAAGCAGGCGTTGATAAAACTGGTTGGTGTCTTCTGCTAGTTAGCGAAGCATTAAAATACTGTATAAACTGGTAACTAACAGATTGGAGATTAAAATAATAGCAGATTTGTCTCATTGTACAGTAATACTAAAACTGAGATGAAAAATCTACTTGCCAGAAATGTACTTTTACTATGGAAAAATACATTTACAGTGATATCTTCAAAAGATTTTTTAATTTTGCTCACTTTTTTCTCTATATCGTTTTTTTATATGGCAAATACCGTAAATGTTGTTATGCTAGCATGTGTGGAAATATTTAAACCGCGTGTGTTACAACTGTTAGTTTGTGCCCCGCGCTCCGCTATAGAACTCCACAGTTGTCTGTGCTTGATGGTTTAATACTTTATATCGAATCCCAGTTCGCATACTCGGCCTACGTTGATGCAACGCACGTACTCTGAAGTCTGCAGTATGCGAAAGTTTAGTAGGGGCTTTTATCGTGAAGATGATTGAGGAGACTCTGATTGGTCTTTTATGCCGTCTAGTACACGGGCTGTAACACTGCCCTACTTCCCACTGGATTCCTGCACACCGCTCTTACGGCGCACTGGCTGGTCATGGCGTTGCGGACTGTCCGAAACTTACCCTGTTTTTTAAGTGTACTCGGCAGAAGCAGGCGTTGATCCTCTTCTGTGGAGGTGGTGCTTAACAACACTATTGTGTCATAAAGTGGCACATTCCACAACCTGTCGTTTTGGCAGACTGGTTTCAATATCAGCTGTTTTTATTCTAACGAGGACGTTTTGAGTTCTGAAACTTGGTGTTTTTATAGTACAATGATCTCTTATATGTCAAATGATCAAGGGAAGTTTGATTTCTCAGTTCATGACCCCTTTAAATGTTGTATTAGATTCATTTCTGATTAAATGTTTATGCTAACCTTATCTCTATGTGTGGCCTCCCCTTTGTAGTGTAGCCTCACCAGGTGGTTGTAACAAGAGCTGCAGTCAAAAACTGTCTTTAATTCTGGACATTTTATTATTATTATTAAATGTTATTATTAAATTAAATCCGTTCATAATATAAAGCAATCAAGTCAATTAAGAAAATTTGAACTAAATCGCTCAATGGTATGGATTAGTTTTACAAGCTCTTTATGAATTTTTTTGAAGCATCAAAGTGGTCAAACTGAAGGAAAATAAATCTCTCAGATTTGATTAAAATATCTTAATTTGTGTTCTGAAGATGAATGAAAGTCTTACAGGTTTGGAGCCACATGAGGATAAGTAAATGATGACACATTTTTAATTTTTGGGTGAACTATTGCTTTAAGGCATCAGTGAATTTGTATAAGAGTACAGATCAGTTTGATGATGCTATCTAGAGACCAAATGGATTTATGAACAGAATTAACTAAATTATGGTCATTTATGAGCAGTGTGAATCATTAAGCAAGATAATGCAGGATTCTGTTTACCCGGGGTTTAGGATGACCCACGCTTAACTATTTCAAGAATGAGAAGCTCTATACTTTGGTATCAGAGTAAAAAGTTTGAATGAATGAATGAACGGACAAGCAGATAAAGCAAGCTAGCTTTTAGATTCATTCGTAGAACCATGGTACACTCGCAGTATCTCCTGAGTTTCACATAATTTACAAAGAAATCTTGTCATCTCCAAAAGGCTAACTGATCATAAATTATTAGCTTAATTGTTATGTATCCTTTTGAACTGAATACTATGTATCCTTTGTATCCTTTTCTATTGTGTATTATTTCTATTATGTATCCTTTTCTATTGAATAGCCTACTATTCATTAATTTATTTGCATGTGTTTGTTGAACTAACAGTATTTTTAAAAATTATCTTCAAACAATGAGTTTTGGAGTTCAGAGGACTTTTATTTTGTAGGGATGATCGCAGTAAGTGATGCTCTGCTGCCCTCTGGCGTTTGGATCCAAACTTTAAGCCTTTAATGTGAAATCTGACATGAAAAATCACAGAAACAGTCAATGCTGCTTCAACTGGAGAGATGCAAGAAAATAAGTAAGCAGTCCTTCAATTTTCGGCTATTTTTCCTCTGTGTAAGTAGTCTTAAAGTGATCAGATGAAGTGTTTATGATCAAAGTTTGACTCTGACAATAAAGTTAACATGCTAGAAACAGAAATGATTAGAGAAATAATTAAAGAATTATATTTAGCTGCTGTTTGTATTAACTCAAGGTAAATGTAGCTTTAAAATCTGATCTATATATATATATAGGCGCACTGGCTGGTCATGGCGTTGCGGACTGTCCGAAACTTACCCTGTTTTTTAAGTGTACTCGGCGTGTTTCTCCTCAGCAGTGGCCCATACCGGGTCGTCTCATGTCCGAGCCGCTGTTTATGTTTCCGTACCACTGTCAGATGTATGCATTTAAACCTGGAATCAGTGCCCGCTGTTCTTCCTCAGACAACAATCCTGTGAGTACACTAGTCTTTTTTTTTCTCTGAGAGAAATGGAAACTGTCGTTGATGTGTGCTTACCTACTTGTTTTCCATCTAATGTTACAAATATACTACTACTCCACCTCGGAGTACGTTGTCAGTATAACTGTTGATGTTTTTTTGCATTGAGTCAGAGTTGCGCATACCGGTTGCATACTAAGTACAGATGAGTTTGAGTGGCAGCGTCTTGCTCTCTGTTGTGATTTACGTTCCTCATCTGGACGAGTCTTTGTTTCGTGGACACAGCGGTTGTGGCTCACAACTTTAACATTAATACTACCTAGGCAGCTTTTTGGGCGTCATAAGTGCGATTCGAGTCAGCTTGATCACCCAGATTCAAATGCTGCAAGCACACTTTGATGGCCAAAAATGCTGCACGTACTTATGATGCCCTTAATTACTGGAGCATATGACATGGGGCCTGTTCCAATTCACACACTTGCGGACTTGGCCACTTGAGCGAGAAAAAGTAAGTGTGCAAGACTGTCCCAGGTGTGAAAAATGCCAAAGCTTAGTGCAGTTAACGCACACTAAATACTAAACTGAATTTGATGCTGAGTGTATCCTATAAATCCCGTAAGATACTTTCGACTTTTTTTTTATCTCACAATTCAGACTTGTTTCTTGCTATTCTGACTTTTTTTTTTTTTTTTCAGAATTTCCAGTGATAAAGTAGGAATTGTAAGATAAAAAGTTGCAATTATAGAGTTATGACTTTTTGTCTCACAATTCTGAGTTTATATCATGCAATTCTGTTTTTGTTTCTGCCACAGAATAAAAAAAAAAAACATGTAATAAAAAGGTAAAAATGACCTTTTTCTCGCAATTGTATTTTTATCTCACAATTCTGACTTTTCTTTTCAGAATTGCGAATTTGTATCTCATAAATCTGAGTTTATATCTTGCAATTCTGAGTTTATACATTTAGAATTGCTTCCATAGTGCAGACATGAATATCTGTGTTTTATCTGTATAATGTATTTATAACTCAATAGAAGCATCGTAATTACTACTTTGTGTTGTCATAGGGACTACTTAATAGACATTTAGAAGTTAAATTTAAGTACTTTTTAAAATGTGTAAATAAAGCTCTATACATTTTTTTTTTGGAGGTCTTTGTTTGTGGTCTTCAGGCCCACTTGAACACTTTGGCCAGATACTGGAAAAATGTCATGCAAGTAGACAAGTGGACAAATGCAAAGACTGCAAGTGTGGGTATTGGGACAGGCCATTACAGCAATGCTGTGTGTTCCCATTATGTGCTAAAATGCTGTCTAGATAGGCAGCACACTAGGTTTTGAGTCATAACCAGGGCAGTCCAGACGAGTGGATCGTACTGTGTTCAGCTCACAGACTGCAGCACTGACATGGTTAACAAAACGTAGTGCTGACAGTGTTTGCAAAGAAAGGTTAAAACCTTTGCATGTGTGTTTTTCATTATGTGTGGAGACTGAGTTGTTGGTTAAAATGAGTCACGATCACGCTGTGTGTGTGTGTGTGTGTGTTTTGAGCCCATTCATCACAAACAATTTTGATTTGTGTTATTGTTGAGAGTTATGCATGTTTTAATAGCAAGGATGTAACCAAATGCATGTTGGTGGATTAGGGCTATTCCCACATAAGGGTGAGAAATAATGCACTTTGTAGGGCCCTCTGTTTACAGCAATGTGCAGCACTTTGTCAAAAATGAAAAGAAATAAGAAAAAGTTCATTTGATTACATATTTACAAGATTAATTCATTTGTTAATGTTTTATGCCCTCATTTGATTATGAGATTAAATGACAACACAGAAATTCTGAAAAAAATAAAACACTTTTTAAGTCTCTTATTGTAAAAATATTAATAAATTGTTAAATTACTAATTACTAGGTTAAATTACTAATTTGATGTAGCCTGTTATATGCTTTTTGATTATTAAAACAGAATCTGGTGGGAAAAAAAAATTTAAACGAAAAATTAAAACAGAATTTGGGAATAATAAAACAAACTTTATTTTTGTTGAATTTCTAATAAATTGATGTTAAATTGTATATGTTTCATGATTTAGACATGCTTTTTGATTACTATTATTCGATCCAATTATTAAAGTGTAGTCTTAAAAGAAAAATAAAAGAATTGGGGGGGGGGAGGATTAATTGGTATTTGGAAAAAAAATTATACCATTTTCATTGGGCTGTACACTCTAAAAAATTCTGGGTTAAATATAACCCAGCGCTGGGTTAAAAAGGGACAAACCCAGCTGTTGGGTTGTTTTGACCCAGCGGTTGGGGTGTTTTTAACCCAGCTATTGGGGTGTTTTGACCCAGCGGTTGGGGTGTTTTTAACCCAGCTATTGGGGTGTTTTGACCCAGCGGTTGGGGTGTTTTTAACCCAGCTATTGGGGTGTTTTGACCCAGCGGTTGGGGTGTTTTTAACCCAGCTATTGGGGTGTTTTGACCCAGCGGTTGGGGTGTTTTTAACCCAGCTATTGGGGTGTTTTGACCCAGCGGTTGGGGTGTTTTTAACCCAGCTATTGGGGTGTTTTGACCCAGCGGTTGGGGTGTTTTTAACCCAGCTATTGGGGTGTTTTGACCCAGCGGTTGGGGTGTTTTTAACCCAGCTATTGGGGTGTTTTGACCCAGCGGTTGGGGTGTTTTTAACCCAGCTATTGGGGTGTTTTGACCCAGCGGTTGGGTTAAAAACAACCCAACAGCTGGGTTTGTCCCTTTTTAACCCAGCACTGGGTTATATTTAACCCAGCATTTTTTAGAGTGTAACTTTGCTCAGTCTGTATCACCTCTCGTGGTTTAAAGTGTTGCCTTTGAGGCTTTGATGTAATTGCAACAGTAACAGCATTGTGTTGCACAGTCTCTCCTGACTGATGAATGAATGAATGAATTAATGGCTTTTTTCAGCTGCTTCTTTAATGAAGTCTTTTATGTGGGTCACTGTGTTAAAGCTCTGTGTTTCAGTCTCAACAGGAACAGTATTAACTCATGACCAGATGCATAATGATGCTGAATATCACACCTTTTGGAAATTCAGAGCTGGTGTTTTAGAGATTGTAAGACAGAAAGAGTGGATCCCAAATCGCTCTGAATTTGCAATGCATTCCTCGGCTGGTTTTAATAGTCCGGAGTGACAGTTGTATGCATTTGTTTCCAGACCCACAATGCATCTGTGCAACTGCAAACAGACAGAGGCTTGCATTCAGGTTTGTGGCTGATTGCAAAGGAGTGACTTAAACTCAACGGGGGTGCAGAGTGCTCTCCATTAGCGTAACTCCACATCTGTCTGCAAGACGCCCATCCAGAAACTGAACATAAATAAGCCTCTTGACTTCATCACTGTGCTGGGCGCCGCTGAAATCCTGAACCGAGGCCAGTGCATTATTATGCTTTTGAGGTCTGTCATTTTGTCTGAGCAATAGGGAAGTGTGGTGTGAAGCTTACTCTTCATTCGGGAGAAACGGTGCCCTGAGAAAGCTGTGTTTGTTTGTTTTTTCCATTTTATTTTTTCAGCATTCCATTTTAATTGATAAATTAAATTGTAATAATAAGAAAGCACCTCTAATTAATTGAAATCAAGAATCTTATACTATATTTTCTTGAATCGGCTTTGATGATTTGATTACATTTTAATAATCAAAAAGCACGTCTAGTCAATTCAAATAATTAAAATCATGAATTTTGAAGTTTGACAGCAATATATTAAAAGTACATCTCATATGAAATCCATTTAATTTTTTCTGTATAATTGATTTTTTTATTTTTTTTTTTACCATAAGCGTCATGTGTCCTTCAGTATGTATGAAATGTGCAGACTAGATATTTAAGTAGTATTGTAGTGCTTTAATATTCACAGGCATTAGTTAATATCATGATTTGATTAAGTATACAGCCCTACTGTTCACTGTAAAAAAAAAAAAATTGTAAAAAATACGGTAGCAACGTTTTAGGTTTTACGGTTTTCACTTAAATTTACAGTTAAATACCGTAATTTCATTAACTGATATAATGTTAATGTACCAACCTATTGAAGTACTGAAATCTGTTTTGTACCTTTGTAATACACTGATAACCACCAAATGCAGGTGGTGATGAGAAAGTCACATGATGAACCAAAGCCCATCACAAGCAGCTTTTAAATAATAACATATATAGAAGGTGCACAGTGTCATTCACACAAACACTAAACACCATCATGGTAACACACATGAAACTGAAATAATGCAATAAACATTCATTTAACAACATTAGGTGTAACACACAACCCTAATATACAAAACTGATAAGAAAAAACTAAGAAACATAGTTATTTCAACAAAAAAACATCAAATTTGAAATGTAACGCAGGGAATTCTGGGAATGTCAATTTACGGTTATTCACTGTAAATTATACCGTCTTTTTCACTTCCAAAAACGGTATACTACCGTAAAATTACATGTAATGTCCAATACAGTTTTTCACCGTATGTAGTAGGGGAATTTACCGTTAACCATTTAACAGGTTTTTACTGTAGCATTTTTACAGTCTTTTACCATTAAATTTACGGTCATTTTTTACAGTGTTGATTTATTCTGAAATTTGCAAAATTTTGTGCCATTCTGTGTTATATAGTAAATTCTCTTTTGAGGGATTGAGCGCTTCTCTCTGTGTTTAAGCTTGTTGTATGTTTGTCTTGAAAAAATCTATAGACATTGTTTAAAGGGATAGCTCACCCAAAACTATCCCTTTAAAATGCATTTCGCTCAACAGTCAGTGGGATTTTTACCTCTGCACTTGTAGGTGTACCGCTGTTCTGCTCCCAAAATGTCTGTGCTGGAGTTGAACTTTTGTAAACCAACCACAGACGTGCATGAAGGCCTTAATGAGCCTATAGTCCAATCACTAACTACTACAGATCCTAATGAGCAGTCTGATTGACTGAGAAGTATCTTAGAATGAGGCTCTGTGTGACTGTTTAGTCTCTGTCTTGCTTTCCTGCGGTTGATT